CTCTGTGGAAACCCAGCCCACACGTTGTCCCACAGACAGGACAAAAGAGGAAACACAGAGTTTGGTTTCTGGATTTTTCCTAAGATGCACGCACATCCACCTCTAAAAAGGATTTAACTAATATTTATTTTCTACCATGCATCCCCCCCACCAGATAACCGGACTAACACCTTATYGGATTTTTTTCCTTGTGGTGACGCTTAATTAGCTCACTCACTCCCACCACATAAGTGCTTAGCCCCCCCACCTTCCACAGCCTGCTTTATGATAGATGGCACAGCTGGAGGTTTTCGGAATAGCGCATTAAAACGGCCTCAGATGTGTACACTAAATATATATGTAATTGTATGACATTAAATCACAACAGATCGATATGTTAAACTGTTCAAAACCCGCTTTTTACCGTCAGTTTTAGCTAATGGCAGTTGTTTTGTCTACGACCGATAAGCTAACACACTAACATTGCTATGCTGGGGCCTACCTCAGCTTAGCAATGCTAATACAGAAGCTAACACTTAGCGAGTCTGATTCACCGCTTCGCACGAGCCACAACAATGGTAACCCCCCGGTCGGCACACCGTCCCCGTTTTATTAACCTTCTGAGAAGCAAAGAATATTTTGCTCACCTGGTTATCGGCGGTGTATCGATCCGCAAGTCACCCATCGACGGGCCCGCTTCGACGGAGCGCCACCACCCTCACTTCGCTCGCAATAACCTGATCAACCGGACGTCGGGGTCACCAAAACTGTAAGGAAATACGAGTTCAATAACGGTTGAAGTCAGGTGAAAACACAAGTGTTAAATAAAATGATCTGTGATAGAAATAATTGCCATACAACACCAGAATTCTGGAGTGAGGGTTTTATTCAGCCATGAGCTGGCAAGTCAAAACCACACACTGGGGTCCAAACAGGAAGTCGGCCAATAAATACAGGAGCTTCAATGCCCGAGTCCGCCTCTGCTGGCCTAAAGCTGAATCACAGGCATTCAAACAGACAGTCCTCAATCTAATGTTAATACAGCTTTAATTATGTGTTGTTATGATTCGGACATGTATCTAAACTATTTCAAATAACACATTGTAAGAAATACAACAAACATTATGAAGGTATTATAAAATAGAAAACCCTAACTCTGTGTTGTATTTAATCAGTACTAACTATAAATTTCTTCACCTGGACATTGGTTTTTAAAGTTTTTCTCTGATTACCTGATGAGTGTGTTTACTTTGGAGCCGAGAGGTAATAATGAGGTCATAAATCAATAATAAGTTCATTTTAATGGTTATTAGCCTGGGAAGATAGGATAACTCCCTTTAACAGTTCCCTTGAGACCTGCTTTCCAGGTCACTAATCATCATCTCGGTCACAGTAAGAAGTGCACATCTTAAGAGGGAGCGGCTACCAGGAACAGTAGTGACAGGCAGTTGGAGGCGTCCTGAGCTACTACGCTGATCCAGAGGCCGGGGTTCAAGAAGGAAGGAACCACTGGAAGGAAGGTTGCTGGAGGCCGAGCTAAAGGCTCCCGCCCCTGTCTCCCGGAGGAGACACGCCAGACTCAGCCACACAGGCCACCCCCAGGTGGCTGTAGGTCCGGTCCATCGCCTCCAAACCAAGAGGGGGACACTGTCTCCTCTCCAAGACCCATCGGGGTCCTGGTGGGTAAACTGGGGGAGGAGCCACACAGGAAAACATTATACATTTATGTTACAGAGTGTCAGTGAACGCACCCAGATGGACTGATGCAAGCGCGCATGTACGGGACGGGAAGCAGGTAACATCTAGAGACAGGCTGACAAGAAAAACATGTATTGCTGTAAGAGAAGCATTGTGGTATGATGTGAACAATAAAATGACATAGACTCCAAACCAGTCTTTCTTATTAAGTGTGCAAACATCACAAGTCTATCTTCCCGCAAGAGTTTAAAACAGGAGCTCTCTCCAGGATTCTGTCCATTTGTAGTTGGTGATTTCAAAAAAGTTGTGGAGTCCTTACAAGTTATACTCCATAAATAAATCAAATGCTTCGAGGACCATTAAGACATGAGCAGCTAATTGAACATAGCTGGGTCGTGTTACAGCTCACCTGCTGCTCGACACTGTCATTCAACATGGCTGTTTTGTTCTCTTAATCACTTTTTCTTTTTTAATCTGAGTTGTCCTTCTTGGCTTGTAAGTTATTTGCACAAATTATCGTCACCTTACCAGTTGTTTTGTCTTAAAAAGTATTTTAGTTTGATTTTATACTCACTTTATTAACATACAGTACTGTTCAGTCACATTACAGACACCATATCTGTCCAGTACTAGTTCTCCCACCCAGTTTCTCTCACTTTCAAAAACATAGCTGTACTACACATATAAAACAAATTGCAAAAGTTATTTGCAGAGCAGTTGTGTACATACATGCAGCTGAAGAGTGTTTTAAAAGAGCAGGCAACAACTCAGCATGCCCATGCTAAAAACAGGTCACTAATAAAAGAAATGCCTGTGAACTGATTGGACTGGGGCTTCCTCGTTTCTCATGAACATCTGTCTGACTTTGAAGGTAATTTTTTTATTATTGAATCAAACAAAAAAGTACTCTCAATCAAAATCAAAAATTCAATTAAAAATGTTTCATTCAAAAAAATAATTTCAACCAAATAAAAAAGCAATTTCAATCCAAATAAATTCGATAAAAAAAGTTTTTTGCGAAACGGGAACTCTTTTTCACATCAGAACTCTGGTTGAATATCAAACCTTTGGTTGATACTCTAAATTTTTGGTTGAACTCAAAAACGTTTTGAACTCAGAGAACATGAACGTCTGGGGCGGGGCCTTTGGATGAACTACTGTAAGACATTTCCTTATTGGTTAGTGTGGACTGAAGCAATTTCCTGTTGCACCTTCTATAAATCGATACTGTGAAGAAAGGCTGGTGATGGAAACTTGAGCCAAAACCTCACTTCATTATTTCAAGATTGCAGGAGTGTGATCCTAGTGTCACCTGGGATGGGCAAGCAACAAGATCTTATGCCTCATCACCCCGCCGTCGATGCTTATGACAACTTACATCAACAGAGACCAAAATCAGATCAAACTGCAGAGATTGAACAAAGGGCCGAATGGTACCAGGCACTAAATCTGCTTCATGCTGCAGGAAAGACAAATGGGTTAAAGGTCAACTTGCTGCAAGCTGGAATGTAACCACAAACCCTCCTTTCTACACCACTATTAGCCTTGCTGGAGGAACTGTGGCCATAAATCCTAAGAATTGTCACCTTCCCCCACTGAGACAAGACCACTGTTGCAACTAGTTGAAACCTGAGTCTCTTCTCTTCACACGAAGAAAAGAGGAGGAGAATGAACGTATGTTTAAAATGAATATGCACAATTACTGGAGTCTATAAAGATCACAAGCACACCCACAAAGACAAGACTTTTTAGGGTTTGCTTGGGTGGTTTAAGCAGGAGTGCAACAGATTGCTATGGCTTGGCTCTCCTGTTGCCCTTGGGTCAAGCTGGCCCAGGTGTGACAGGAGGGATTAGAGTGCTTGCACTTATTTTGAATTTATTTCATTTTTGTCTTTTATTTTAAGGAGACATACCAGTTTTGGGGCATCTTGTGAAGATGAACCCTCTGTGGATCAGTAGAGCATAGTCTGTATCTTTGTTTTTGATTTTACTAAAAATAAAGATGTAAACACCTAATTAATATTATCCTCTTTTGAGATTTTTTCACTTTAATAAACTTTTTGCCAAGAGAGCACAAATCCATTCAGAGAGTCCTGGTGTCTATTTGAGTCCTCCGTATGTTATTTCTTCTGTATCATTTTGCTGGTTTTATTAAAAAGGTATGACAACGCACTGGTCTGAGAGCAACCTCGCTGGGGTGTCAGGCACCCCCCCACCTTTGGATCCTTTAGCCTCAGACAGAGGAGAGTGGGGTTAGAGCAGCGGGAGAAGAAGAGTCCGGAGATTCCCAGTTGAACAGGGGGGTCTTTACTTCTTCAAGTCTCTGTAAGTCTGTGCCCCGGATGACTATGATGTATGACAGCATTTATCTTCAAAACCAAACAGGCCATTTTATGCTAATCAAAAAATCCTACTTGACTAATAAATTTGATCTTACCTAGGAACAAGTGATTTGAAACTTTTATTAAGACTGAGTCAGTAGGTAAGCTCAGCTGGTCTTTGAGCTCCTCAGAAAGACTGTATTATGTCAGGATAAAAATCCTGAATAATAGCTGGATTAAACCAATACTAATTGAGTTTATGACAGAAGGACTCAGGCCGCAGCTAGCTTTACAGATACATTAAATGAACGAAATTAGCAGTTATCAATCCCATACATTGTGTGCAGACTGCCCCCCCCCCCTACTTCCTAGTAGGTTGGAAGGCTCTTCTCTTATCCAGGAATGAGAGGAGCTCCACCTGAAGAAGACTTGCTTGTGCTCCATCACCGTCCAGAGGGCTTCTTATGCAGCATGACTACAGCAAAACTACCCCCTTGTCTTCTCAGGTTTATATCTCAAAAAGTACCACACAGATTTATATGAAAATTTCAGGAAACATTTATTATACTTTCAGGAAATGTTCAATACACCTCAGAAAACAGGGAAATTCTGTCTCTAACTAAACCAAAAATTTAGAGCATCAACCAAATGTTTGAGTTTCATCCAAAGATTTCTGATGTAAAAAAAGTTTGGTTGAAATTATGTTTTCTTTCTTGGAACTTTTTTCATTGAAACTACTTAATTGTTTGACTGACTAATAACAAAACAAAATTACCTTCATATCTGACTTTCCTAAATTACTAATGGTTCAAATCTGTCTACATCTGTAAAGTAAAAAAAAAAAACTGGCAAGGCGTTTCACAGTGACGTATCTGTCAAACCTATCTATGAGCCAGCAGAGCTTCAAATAGAATCTTTTTTAGTCTGTTGTTTATTCTTTCATTTTTCATTTACAAGCACAGCTTCTGAAGCAGAGCTGAAGGGATTTTTTTGAAAAACAAAATGAATAAAATCAACTGTACTGATCCCAACAAGGAACTATTTGAGCACAGGATCCTGCCTACTCTTTACCTCTTTGTTTTCATCTTTGGGCTGTTATCTAATGGATGGGGACTGAAGTCTTTGCTGCACAACTGGAAGAAACTGAAGAATATCAATATCTTTATGCTTAATCTTGGACTTGCAGACATGTTGTATCTGCTCACACTTCCCTTCCTGGTGGTGTACTACTTTAAAGAAAATACATGGATCTTTGGAGACAAGTTCTGCAAGGTAACAAGATTCTGCTTCAACCTGAATCTGTACTGCAGCATCGGCTTCCTCACCTGTATAAGTGTGTACAGGTACCTGGCCATTGTCCATCCAATAAGAGTGATGGGAAGATTAACTGTGACTCACTCTGTGATCATCTCAGTCCTGGTTTGGATCCTGGTGGGTGTTCAAAGTCTGCCAGACATGTTTTTCCCTAAAACATCTGAAAACATGACACAATGTTATGACAGCACTTCTAAGAAATATGTTGAGGATTACCTGAAGTACAGTCTTGGATGGACTCTTAATGGATTTTGTATCTCGCTCCTCATCATACTCGGATGCTATGGACACATGATTTGTGTTCTCTGTCATAAAAATACAATTAACAAGGGCCAAAAGCAAAAAAGCCTGAGAATGTTGTTCATTTTGATTCTTCTCTTCTCAGTTTGTTATGTGCCTCACCATGTGTTCAAGAACCTCAATTTATATTCTAGATATTTGAGAAACCAGAACATTTGCACGGACTGGAATTTCTGGGTCTTCAATTCTTATCAGATCACTCGTGGACTTGTGTGTCTGAACAGTGCTCTGAACCCTCTGGTTTACCTCCATGTCCAAAAGGACATTTCTGCTCAGTTCAGACAGCTGCTCCAGAGATTTTACACAATATTTCATCAAATGTTTGAGTCTAAATCATTTACTGAACCTGTGGCACAAACTAATGCTATCTCTTTAAATTAATCTTATGCTTTTGATCAGGGGTGGCCAACCTGTCACTCGCGGGTGACTGGTCGCCCGCCAGCTGTTTCCCAGGTGCCCGCAAAGCGCAACCTTGCTCTAACAGCTGAAGACAGCTGTAAGGTTGCCCTCTGGCCGGGAGCTCACTGAGCTTCATTCTAACTCTGGCAGAAGTGGTGGAGATGGGAGGAGGAGAGCGGAGGGAGTGTATTTAGGAATGTAAACTCCTCCTGCCTCCCACCTGCACCGCTTCTGCCGGAGTTAGAATGAAGCTCAGTGGAGGGTAGTCTCGCGAGTTTTGGGTGCTGTGAATCAGCGCTCCGAACATGAACTTGCGAGACTTTAGGGTCACGCATTTAAAACATGATCTTGAGCTGGAAAATAATGAACGGCAAATGAGCTATCAAGCAAACAAAAACTTATTATTTTCACCTGGTGTGGGAAAAGGACTCATATGTAATTTGAGCGCTGCCTTGACTAAAAAGGATAACGTGGAACGGCATTTCAAAACAATGCACAAACACGGATTTCCTCCTAAAACTGCACAGCATCGATTTCCACACCAGAGGTAAGGCTAATGTAGCCCATCCTGCCTCAATACAAAAAAGGTCTTTCACTAATGACCAAGTTATGAAAGAAGCGTTTGATGCTGCAGACATGCTTTTCTGTGATTTTAAAAATAAAAGTGAGATTGTGGCTGCTACAAACAGGTGCAATTGTCCAGGATGGTGGACATTGTGTCCAAATTCGTGTTCGAGTTTCTGCTGGACTTCTCTGGTGTTGAAAATGAGGTTTTGACTCTGCAAAATGACATTGGGATCAAATCCAGAGCAACAAGTCGCGTGTATGGAGATTTCTGCAGTCTGCTGTCAGAGGAAACGTATCCTAACATCAGAAGAGGTGCTTTGAACTTGACAGAACTTTTTGGATCTACCTGTGTGAGTCTGCTTTCTCTCACATGAAAATCATCAAATCAAAGAACAGATCCACAATAACAGATCATCTGGAGACCTGCCTGTGCCTCAACCACCTCATACCGCCCACCCTGGTTCCTCCTCTCAGTGTCAGAAGTCCCAATAAGGTAGAGACATTTATTTTTATATAGCCTGCATAAAAGGTTTTCTCCTCTAGAATAGTCACATTTTGCCTGTATGTTGTTTTTTTTATATTTTATGCTATTCTTTTTATTACAATTTAGACCAGACTGACTGGCACCTTTGTGTTTATTATTTATTTATTTTGCAGTTTGGGTGTGTCCTTGTTTTCTGT